ACACATTTTTATATATTTCTTTTATGAATTAAATAATAAAAAAAAATGAAGAGAAAATAAGTTAAAATAAATAAACAAAAATGAAACAAAAAAAACAAGTGGACCGGACTGCACCAGCAAGCAGAACTGAGGTGTACATAAATAAAAACTAAGCCCAGGTAAAAAGGGGCCCACTACGTGGAGGGTCTCCACAGACCTTCAGTCAAATTGGTTGACTATGAGGCAAAATCCTGAGCGTCGAAACCTGATGGAGTCAAAGTCAAAGTCAAACCAAAGGCTCAGATTTGAGGGAGCATGACAAGATACTAGTGATGCGTAGGATGGCAACAGAATGATGATGAAGCGTGACGGTGACGGTGACCCATTTCTGTCATATGAAAGTGGTTCCCATTTCTTGTACTGATACCATGATTTGATGAATATGAATTTTATGAAAGTGAATATACAATATGAATTTGCGAATGAATAGGTATTAAGTCCTGTCTTGTTGGTGACATGATACGGATTGGATTTGATACGACTTCAAAATTATCTAAATTGATTAGCTTTTGGTAGGAATTGAAACTTATCTTGTCATTATGAATTTTGAATGAAATATGTGACTTGAATTTGAATGTTTTTTTTAAGAGTTTGCAAAATGGTAGAGTTTGAATATGGTATGTGAACCTAATGTGTTTGAGTGAATTGTTTCTTGTATGTTGACATATGGACCAATTGCTTGATTATAAAAAAAAGCTTATGAATGTGATATTGAAATCATGTATTGAAAATGCTTGAAGAATGATGTGGAATTGAATTTTGTTTTCTAGGGGAACTTGAATGAGTTAGAATGAATCGTGAAACACTTGAACTTTTTTGAATTAGGTTGAATAGAAGTGCTTGAATTTGAAACTCGAATTGGATTTGAACTTGAACATGAAACTTGAATTGGATTGGATTGAATAAAAAATTGAAACTTGATTGTTTTGAATGTGATGGATGAACTTGAAATGATTTGAAGGAGTTTGAATTGGATTGTAACATGATGAATAGGTTTGAATTTGAAATTGGATTGGATACTTGGCATGACATGAATTTAAATTTAAAGTTTGATAATTTTGAATGTGAAATAAGCTTGGTGTAATCTTGGATTTATCTCATACTAACTCAATGCGTTTGGCCTTGTAGGTGAGCTACTAGGTGATCATTGGAACGATTAAAAAGAGTATGAAGTTTGGCCATGAAGGTGAATTTGCCAAAATGACAAGGAAATAATGGCAAGAGACTTAGTACTATGGATGGTTTAGGATAAGAAAAAAAATTTAGGATCTCATTGTAATCAAGCAAGAAAATTGTAGTTCCAAGTGTCATTCTATATCCTTGTAACTTGCTAATTGGCATGAATTTCTTTGGAATGAAAAATTGTAACTTTGTCATGAGCTTGAATTAACATTATAACCTTGTAAGTTTTGTCATGAATTTGAATTTGAACGGGTTCACAAACTTGAAATGCTTTTGACGTTGACAATCTTGACATGAATTTGAATCTTAAATGGATATAGAAATTTGAATCTTGGATGAAAATTGAAGCTTGGTTTTGAATTGCAATTGAATCTTTGAATGAACATGTAAATTGATATGAATGTGAACTTTGTATGATCGTTGAAACTTTGATATGGAATTGAAACTTTTTCATGAACTTGACTTTGATCACTTGCCATAATCTTGAATTAGTGACTTGAACTTAACTTGGAATGGACTTTGAAATGTGAAATTTGTCATGAGTTTAAATTGAATTTGAAATGAAATGAAATAGATACTTGAAAGAAAAGAAAAATGAATGAATTAGATCCTTGAATGAAAATTTAAAGACTTGTCATGAACTGAAATTGAATGTTGAATGGGCAAAGGAAATTTGATATGAAATTGAAATTGAACTTTGAACAAGGATTTGAATGTTGGGTTTGGAATTGAAACTTGGAATAAAATTTGAACTTTGTATGGAATTTGAAAATTTAATAAGAAACTAGAAATCTTTAAATTTTTGACACAAATTTGTTCTTTTTCACAAGAATTTGAATTTCACAATTAGGAGTGAATTTGGTATCATAATACTTGAATTTGAATTTCACTCTAGAACTTGGATAAAGCTGAATTTGAATTGGTGACTTGAAATATGAACTCTCATAACCTTTGAATCTCTATCAAAATTAAGTTAAAAGAAAGGAAAATTGCTCCATATTCAACAACCTCATCTTAATCTTGTAAGAAGGTTTTGAACCAAGTATAGGTGATTTAAAGCTTCTTGAAGCTTGTGTTGTTTTAATTGATCAAAAGTAAGCCAATACTGAGCATTAGGTTTCTTGATTCCTAAGTAACTTATACTAGCCCAAACCTTAATCACCAAATAACAATTGCCTTGAAGAAAATATCCCTCCTTGTTAATCCCTTGCAACCCACATGCTCCATGCACCCAAGTATGATGATGATGATGAATCCATGATATGAAAGACTAGGGTAAAAAAAATGAGGGCATGACAATCACCTTTTCAATGGTTTTTGTCAATTATGGTGATTTTTCAACCAATTCTTCCAATCCTTATTACCTTGACCCTGATGAAAGTCCATCGTCTGCTCTTGTTTCGCCTACATTAGACAATAAAAATTATGGGTCGATCAATACACATTGTCTTAATCTCCATGAACTAGGAAACGTTTGTAGATGGAACCTTTCCCAAGCTCAACATTTTAGATTCTCTGTATGCACCTTGGATATGACGCAACACCATGGTTCTTGCATGGATTCATCATTCCATTAGTAAATTCATTGTCAGATAAGTTCTTTGGGTCGAATCTGCAACTGGAGTTTGGTTAAACCTCAATACATGTTTTTTTCAAAGTGACATTTTTTGGATTTCAAATATTCAAGAGTTTTACAAGCTTCGAAGAAAAATTGTTTGTCTCAGATTACTTCACCAAAATGAAGGTTCTTGGGGATGGTTTGCAAAACTATCGCTCAATTCCTCACTCTAAATGCTCCATCAAATGCAATTGCAATGCTATTGCTTTTTTGTAAGTTTATCGTTACCAAAATCATGTTATACGCTTCCTTAAGGGTCTCAATGAAAATTTCAGCACCACCAAATCTCAGATAAAGGTCATGAATCCTTTTCTAGGAATTGACATTGTATTCTCATTGGTAATTAAACAATAAATAAAACTTGTATTGCACTTCTCGTCCCTCATCCTCCCGATGCTTCTGAATCTTCTCCATCCCCTACAGCCTTCTTAGATTTTGCTTCTCAAGCTAAGTCCAACCCTGCCAACAAGTGGAAATGGACAGGTCCACCTAGAGGCACCAATATAGTCTGCACTCATTATGGTAGGACAAACCACACAGTTGACCTTTGTTTTGTGAAGCATGGCTACCCTTCAGGTTTCAAAAAAAGCAAAGCCTTCTAAAGCAATTGGTCACGATGATTCTAAATCATATCCTAACACATTTGGTATAGGTTCTTCAAGTTCCAAGTCTTTTGGATTACTCAAGAGAAATATAAAAGTCTCATGAGCTTGTTATAATAATCACAGAGCAATCTCAATCCTAAAGCTAATGTTGTTTCTAGCTCTCCTCTTGCCTTGACATCCAAGTCATATTTTCATAATGGCAAAATCCATTTACTATGGATCTTAGACACTGGTGTCACTGATCACATTACCTTTACTTTTATCTCCTTTATTTTCTATCATACTTGCCAACCTATTTCAGTTTCCTTACTTAATGGCACAAATGTTTTTACTCATATATTTTGTTCTATCATACTCTCCCCCAACCCTTACCATGTATAATGTTTTATACATTCCTTCTTTTCATGTCAATCTTGCATTACTAAACTTGCCTTGTCCAACAATTTTTGTTTTCAGTTTACTTCTAATGCTTGCCATATTTTACATACTTCTACAATGGAAATGATTTGTATTAAAAGACTTCTTCGTACCTCATTTCTTATTCTTAGTTCCATCACGAAGAAGTTTCCACAATATCCATATGTTATATGGTAGCCTGGTGTTTTTATTTTGTCTCACCATGTTAGTGTGTTAAAAGTTTGTCAGCGCACATTAGCATAATAAATTTAGTGATTAGTTATTCAATGAATTGATAATTTTGCCTTTAAAGTATTTGTACATTCTTTCAATACACACAATCATTATTTAAAAAATCAATTACAATCGGTAATTAAATTAGATGAATTGAGAACAAAAGAGATAACTGATTTAAATTGTCAATTATATCAACTAATTAATCAAATTGATAGGAATGAACAAAAACCAGACAAAATTGATGAAAGATATAAATCGATTAAAGATATAATTTTAAAGAGTAACGTTGTTTGAATATCTCAAATTTGACACTGTATTTGTATGTATTTTAAAAGTGTATATTTTATACTATTCATTTAATACAATTAGAGGAAAAAATTTGATTAAAAAGTAAAATTGTATCCACAATGTATAAAAGTCCGATTGATAGACTCTGATACTATATTAGAGTTTGACCTAACACAACCTTGCAAAATCAGTTGGTAAGGTGAGAGGTGTCACTCTATATAAACTATTTCAATGCTCTATTTCTAACCAATATAAAACTTTAGAATCTCCCAAATATTTAAAGATCATCAACAGGAATACCATCACCATGTTGGTCCTTATTTAGAATAAACATTTTTTTTGTAGCAAATAGGGAGCAAAACTGCCAAAAGACACTCTTTTTAATAAAACCAAAGATACTTACTATACACAGTTCATAAAAATAAAAATTCTTAGAATATACTAGCACTATACATAAGCTTTCATTATTTAATCTATTTTTGGTTTCACCTTTAGATTTTTCACTTCTATCCCATTCGCTTTTGTGGCAACTCTTACAGTTTTACTTGAAAATTTTGTGTATAAAAACAGAGTTCGGTATACAATTAAAAGTTATAACACTAACTTCAAAAAACAGAGCACTCTGTTTTCCCAAAATGAATTCATTCCCAAACTCTTCCACTTCCGAATTTTCCTGCGAATCCTCTTCATTCGAATTCAACTATCTTCCCTTCAACGAGAACGATCCCGAAGAGATGCTTCTTTACGGCATGATCAACGACGCAAACAACACCCTCAAGAACAACACCAGAGTTGTTATTAAGGAAGAAGAGGTAAGTTCCATAAGTTCCGAAGAGAACGAACCGAGGAAGGAGAAGTCGTACCGAGGCGTCAGAAGAAGGCCATGGGGGAAATTTGCAGCGGAAATAAGAGATTCAACGAGAAATGGAATGAGGGTTTGGTTAGGAACATTTGACAGTGCGGAAGCGGCTGCTTTAGCTTATGATCAAGCTGCGTTTGCCATGAGAGGCGCTTCTGCGATACTCAATTTTCCGGTTGAGATTGTGAGAGAATCGCTTAATGATATGAATTGCGATGAATGTGCTGAAGATGGTTGTTCCCCTGTTGTTGCTCTTAAGAGGAAACACTCTTTGAGAAGGAAAATCGGTTTCATGAAGAACAAGGAACAAGATTTTAGAAAAAACAACAACAATAATGATAACAATAATATCAGTGTTGATAATGCTGTCGTGTTTGAAGATCTTGGTTCTGATTATTTGGAGCAATTGTTGATGTCTTCGGATGAATTTCCTTATCCTCCGTGATTCATCATTTCATTTTCAAACACGTAACTGCAGAGATTAATTTCTTTTAAAAAAGATTTAACACTACTGCATGTTTACTGTCGAGTTCGAATTCAAAACCAGAACTTTTAATTAAGAGGGAAGAGAAGAGATCACTTAGTATCTGATACAATTAGTATTGGATTTTAGTTATGTTTAGTTTAATTTTATTTCTATCTATTTTTTTATTTGGTTTTTTAGTATTTTTATTTAATTAATATTTTAGTTTTTTTAAAGGGTGATGAAAGCCTTTGTTGTGTTTGAATGATCAAAATTTGAAGATCATTTGATTTCTTTTTTTTTAGTTTGTGTTATGATTATGTTTCTTTTTGGGAGTCTATAGGAGAATTTTCTTCTAAATATTTGTTTTTTCTTTTGAATGTAAAGTTTAATAGATAAGGATTAAGGAATGAAGTGGTGAAGTTTGTGGGGTATAGTTTTTGTCGTTATTAATTGAGGTGATTGTTGTTTTGGCTTTATTTGAGTGTAAAGTCAACATGCATAGAATAGTTGTGTAAAATGTGAAGTGCACGCGTGGACAAATATACAAGCAAACATATAATAGAGTTTCTTAACCATTTTGGTAAAATGTAATTTTGTTTGAGTGTGTGTCAAAATCTCAGATTTTTGGTAATGAGATCTTCATATGACAGCTTATTAACTACTTCTTTGTTCTTTATGTAGTCTTATTTTTTGGTTTTCATATCAAAATATTTAATGGGTTATTAAACAATAAATATGTATAATTTGTATTTTATGAGTGTAATTAGTGAAGCAAGATTTGGTCTTGTGAAGAGACATTTTTCGTATTATTAACGTGGGACATGCGTGACATTGGATATGCTTCTTTTTGGTAAATAAAATGTGACACACTAATAATAAAATTGTCTCAAAACAGGTGTGTGGAGGGGCTGGTTTGCCGCCAGATTAGGCTAAGCTATTTGTCGTGTGACAACACCCGCATCTATGAAATATAGGCTAAGGCTAGAAACAGAGTACCAAACTTAATTACATGGTCAAAAGGGAAATTTATTAATAATTGAATGCATAAAGATTACATGATTAGTATTTTAGCGGCAATATTTTATGATGAAGAATAAGATAAAGGAAAAGGGAAGGAAACAACCTAAGGAAGTTGGTGGGACTTCTAGAAATTTAACGAATCTGTTGGACGAGAAAACTACACAACACCATTGTCATCAGCTTTTTGAGTCCAAGTTTGAATTGAATTGGTTGGTCTCTTAGACCAACATCTGCAAATATTATGGTTTATAATATTTTGAATGACAACAATGATATTTGAATTACAACAAGGATATTTTGAATGAAGATATATTTTAAATTTGAAATATTTAGGTTTTCCAAAATTTATAAAAACAACTTTTCTTTTGAAATTTACAAAAATTTCTCAATTTTTTTTTCTAGAATTCGAATACGTTGTTCAAATCTTGAAGTTTTAGAAGTTACGAATTCAAATGAAAATTGACAATGAGTTTGAAAAGAAGAATTCAAATGAAAATTGACAATCAATTTGAAAAGAAGTTTGTATAAAACGCTTATTATTGTTAGTGTGGTTACAAATTGAGCCAACAAAACGGGTCAAACTAATCACGCCGGTTGAAAGTCCACAAAATTTTCAAGTTTAAACAAAAAATTAAGAGAATTTTTTAATGCACTCTTTTATTTTCTAAGCCACCACGAGAACTTATTTAAATGCCACCAGATTCTGGAAATGCATCTTCAGACGCACTAAATTCTGAAGGAATGTTGAAATATTTTGAAGATGCATTTCCACAACAATTTAAAACATACTATGCATCACACTCGTAAGCCATTATACACATGAATTGTACCAGAGATGCATCTATGTGAATTATACGTGTATTTAGAAGCAGATTTAAACCATACCATACAATTGAAATTCAAAAAAAGACGTACATAAATTCAGATGGCCAAAAAATGCCATATATAAATAAAAGACAAATAAATTTCAAAAATGTCATACAATCGAGACCTATAAAGTAGCATGATATCAAAATAAAATACAGACCATAATATTACTACTATATACTAATGCAGTATTGTGTATGTCTGACTATCTCTCCTCTACCTCCTCTGTCTCTTCTACCTCCTTGGCCATCAATCCCCCAGTTCTCCAGCACTGTCTCTGATACATCAATACCCCTTATGCCTCCTTCATGATAGCATTTAGGACGTGCCTCACATCAGACCCATCAGGGAAGATACTAGTGTCAATGTTTGCCGCCATAATTTCCAATATGTGACAACTTCTAGGAAAGACTTCCTCAGCATGATCTAGTTATGTCTGCTCCTTCTTTAGTATTTCCTGATGAGCTGACCTCAGCGGATCTCCTGAAACAACATGCACCATGTACGAATGTAACTCCCTAAAGAACCATCTAATATACCCTTCGATGTAGCACCAATTGCTCTCAGCTATGGTACTCTGTGTCTCCTCGATACCAGATGACTTTCATAATCATCAAACATGTCATCTATCTATCTACATGTCAAAACAGGAGGAGCAGAAATAATAGGGTGTCAGGGAATGTAACCGAACTTCCGCATGACGCACTCGGGAAGATGAGAAGATGTGAGACATGATCCTCAGACCAACAATCCATAGCATAGCACTATCTCGTCAAATGGTTGTGTCTCACTATGATTAATATAGTTGTTAAAGTGTATGTCCTTGGCAACCAAACAGTCAAGATAGACTTTGTAAGGCTTGGTCGCCTTGTTCCTTCTAAGCGGAGAAAAAGTTGTAGCACGAGACATATCCTCAGTGTAAGACGACATACTCGCCTATTCAGAGATGTGCGGGAAGTGCTAGAGGATCCAAGCCCAGAATGAAAAGTTTGGAACACACAAATCATCAGTAATGGCTTTGCAAAGATGAAATGAAAATGACAAAGAAATATTCAAAGACCAATAATTGTTACTGCCAGTAGTGTAACGATGCCTGTAACGTGCTTCATCTTCCACATACAACCCTCTCTCAGCTTCGAGTAAAGGTAAACAAAAAAAGTGCCCCCTATTTGTACCTACGGATCCGCTCGAAGTCCTCGAAGTACTGTAGGTAGACGACATCTGTATAAGTGGCACTTTTATCTATAAAAATTGCAGTGCCAACCAAATATAGAAGGTATGGTCTTATAACATGCGATCTGTGGAGCGCCACCTACTCATTATCACCTTCATCATGTTGTGATCTCAGAATCTCAACCTCATATATATTCATTAGGTATTCAAATCTAGCATGAGAACCTCTGGTCTTATCAAACTCCTCATTCGCCTCCCTTGGATGAGACCCCAAATGGTCTACCAAAATCTTGAGTGCCTAGTCTTTGATAATCCTCCCATGATTTAGGAATCTCCCCTTGATCGAAAGACGTAGCAAACACGAGACATTGTCGAGTGTGATAGACATCTCACTATGCGAAAGATGAAATGACGAGGTCTCTGAGTGTCATCTCTCTATGAATGCATTAAGCATCAAGTGGTTGTCCATAATATAACTTGTCATGCACAAGTCCTTCATGCCAAATTAGGACGAAAATGTCTGAAACCAATCCTCATTCGGTTAAGGCAAGCCAGCAATCTTCCGCACGTGGTTAATAAACTTTTAGAGATCACGCTCCTGAGAAAAATTATAATCAATGTTAAAAAAATTTCAATTAAAATTAACGTGAAAAAAATAATGAATCCAACTAATGCTACCTCTTCGTCCCAAATATGTCTGGCAATATGGTCTGGGTACATAGGAAGTAATAACAAATCAACAAGGCATCTTCCAAATGCTTATGGCTCAACATCCGCAGCAGCCTCACCCTCTGGAGGTGGCACTAGATTAGCAGTAGGAGGTGGCACGGACTCAGTAGCATCTACAATAGGAGATGACACTGGTGAATCGGGTGCCCCAGACACCTGAATATGGGAAACCTCTCGCTTGGGGGAGGTTGGATGGAGTGATGGGTCAGATGGTGAATCTTGTCTCCTACTTAATACAAGTCCTATAATGTGCCTCTCTGTGGGTATCTGGTAACCATGTAGGTAAGGGTATAATCGACGATTTGACAGCAAAAGCAATAATAAATGTTATATAGAATATCATTTCTAGTGCCACGGGATATGATTGATTAATTAATGATTCAAAATTTGATGTTGGTTCATTAGAGCCATATAAACCAATACCCAAAATTCCCATTAATAAAAAAATAAAAGCTCCTGCAGCATGCAAAATAAACTTTGTGGCAGAATACAAACGTTTATTTCCCTCGACATGGATAAAAGTAGATAAATGAGAACTAATTTTGATTCCCACATGATGAAAAAAAGTACAATGTATGAAGAAGAAAATGGTCATATTTTACCGCTATACATTGCTAACATCAGGAAATAGAATAATTGGTATTCTCGAGTAAACGGCTGAGCCGCTAAGGTGGCTAAAGTAGTTATCAATCCTGTTAGTAAAATAGGTCCTATAGAGAGTCCATTTATTCCTAATATCCAGTAAAAAAATTGACCCATTTATAACTCTCCGTCAGTTAAATTTATGGATCATTCAATTATAAACGATAACAAAACCCATAGGTTGTTAGAAGAAGATCGATTAAGCATATACAAATTCTATACCACCTAATTACCTTATTTCCCCTATGAGGAAATAAGAAAGTTAAGGAACCTATGACTATTAGGAAAACAAAAACTATTGTTAACCAAGGAAAATAATTCGTGATAAAATAAGATACACTTGGGCTAGAAAAGCCCATGCTCAAAATAAAAAAGAAAAAAAGATTTTCTATTTTATTATGACCATGAATTTTTGCTAGTAAAAAATGTATTCGGGTGGTGTTTTTTGAAACGAATCAATAAGCTAGACCCATACTTCAAGTTGTTTCATTCCATAACTAAACTCGAATACTTGAGAAATTCGTCGTACAAGCGGACTCACACCTCTT